TTTTGGAAGAATGGTCAAAAATTCCTATAAACACACTCCTCAACCTTGTGGACAGCCTTCCCAGAAGAGTTGAAGCTGTAATAGCTGCAAAAGGTGGACCGACATCATATTGAACCCTATGGGTTATGAATGGGATGGCACTTAAGTTCATATGTGAGTCAAGGCAGGTGACCGAATACTTTTGGTAATATAGTGTATATTCTTATACGTTTAAAAAAAATCCCTTAATATTTTTTTTTATCTATATATTTTTCTTATATTTAATATTTTCCTTTACATATATATTTTTATGTACATATTTTTCTATATTTTCTTTTTTATGTCGGAACAGTTGTATAAGGCATTTCACTGCAAGTCGTACTCTGTATGGTTATGCTCGTGACAAACAATACTTGAATTTTAATATTTTATTGATTAATATTGTCATTATTATATATCATTGCTATATTATACATCACAGTTGCTCTACTCTATTTAATGCAAACTGAAGTGCATCCAGCTGCTACTCCTTATATTAGGATGGTAATTGTGTTGTGTTGTCTGAGATGTGTGAGTTGAATATAGCTTGTTGTGGCCCAACACCAAGAAAAATTCCTGATACATGTAAATGTATATGGTGAATAAAATGATTGTACAAGCAATATATCAAATTCTCAAAAAAAAAAAAAAAAAAAAGAAGGGCAACGTGTATGTACTCAAGAGTGTTCACCTTTCTCCACCACTGTAGTCTGTGTCGTGTCCAGTAGTCGAGCCACTGTGAGGACGTCCGGGGGGAACAGAACCACGTCAGCGACGCCTCCGTCACCTCTGAAGAGCTATCACACGGCAAAACAAGGCAAACCCGCTTTACATGACCGGGTCTGTATTACACACATTCCCATTCGGCCACTTCAGCTCTAATTACTGGACAGATTTAGTATTTGAATGAATTTGAATATTTTGAATATCTTTTATTTTCCTTCTGCAGACAGTACGAACATCAGAGTTTGTTTTTATTAAAATCACATCTTTCTTAAGCAAAGCGAACCACGAGTCAAAGTCAAAGTCTTATTTGTCATTTGCACAGTGGACACATTGAAATGCTTATGGCAGCTCCACTGACAAATACTGGACATATATGAACATTCACTAAACAATATATACAAATGTAAATGCAATATCAAGGATATCCATGGGAAAAAAAAAAGAATATACTTTCAGGATGCAAAAACACACAGAAATACACAAGAGACACACAAAAATATATATAAATATGGGTGGGGAGTCGATACTATAATTTTAGCATCAGTCTTAAGATGGAAGAACATTAATTTTATTTATTTGCCCATGGTGATGTTGAACATTTCTTGCTCTAAATTGTAAAAAGATACTTCCTGCTATTACGTATAATACCATTTTTAAAGCGTGTACTTGTGAACTGGCAAAAATCAATACATAATAATTCAAAAAATTCTACAGGGCATCCCATAAGACTCCATACACAGGGGAAATTAACACTTCCAAAAAAGCAAAAAGTCTTCCAAAATGTTAGTTTTAGTCTTAAAATGCTAGTTAGTCTTCCAAAATGCTTAGTTTATATTATATATATTTTTCAGATGGCCTTTAAGAATGCCTTTGACAGATGAAGAATGTATTGAAATCATTCTCATGGTTGGATCAGGAAGCTGTCACAAGGTTGCTATGGACAGGAAACATGGCAAGCACATCACACATGACACGTACTAACAAAGTCAAAAAGGCATCCAGTCTTTTTGAATTTGTTAATAAGACCAAATGAGAAGTGGACGTCCAGAAACAGCCACTGACGAAGACACTACGGACGTGGTGCTGGCAAATATAGTCCCCTATGTATGGAGACTTTTGGGACACCCTGTATATTTATTTATTTCATCCTTGGTGAGGTGAGGTTCATATTCACACGAGCATCCAGGTTAATTTTACAAATCAAGGTTGAACGTGAGGAAAGTGAAAAGCTGAAACCTCACCAACCGATTGCATCCGACTCGTCGTCTTCAGGCCGGTAACACAGACCGGTTTCAGCCAGACCAAACGGCAGCTTCCTGTTCGTGAGCTCCAGGGACGGGACGTACTGCGCCAAAGCACCTGCCGATCCCGAAGCAAAGGAACAAATCATTTAAACAATGAGCTTAGTGAGTGTCAAGAAACCGAGCTCCTGCATTCTGTAAAGCGCAGTAAGCCGTGTTAAATATTTCTCGCTATAATGCTGAAGTAATTCCAGCATTCTGGAGGTGACGGTTGAACTCATATTGCCAGCTTGCACATTTGGTCATGTGATCGCATCCAAATTTTCAGTATGAAATATGATTAAATGTATCGTTTTAGGAAACTAATCCCCAACGGAGTAGCGTGATGAGACCTGACGCAAAGCAGAGTTACTGTTACCACCCCGAAGTTGACTGTTTTCCTAAAACAAGTGTTTTATTCCACTTACACCACAACAATTTGCCAACAATTACACTTTTTAATACATTAAAAAAAAGGAAACCATCCTTTTTTTTTTATCTGTTTTTAGTTACAGTTAATGTTGCGGAACGTCCACAAAACAAGTTAGTTCCTGTTATCACTTACGCTATAACAGCTCTAAAGTGCTATACCTTCTCCAATCTCTCTTTATTCACTCTCTTGATGGTAATGTCACAAAAAATATTGCAGCTTGTCACGTTACTAAAAAAACAAGCAGTAACTCCTCCTTCCTGAAGATTCTACCATTTCAGAAAACGTTACACAGCGCTGACACTGGAGACTCCTTCCATAAATATTAAATAAACATCTCCTTACAGAAGACGTCACCACATCAACCGTTACATGTTTTCCTTTGTTAAAAAAACAACACTTTAAAAAGAAATTGTTTATTATTAGCCTTAGATCATGTAGCGCACCCAGCATACAAGTCTCTGCGGACGCTGTTCCTACAGAAACGAGAACATTAACGAGAACGAGGAGCACATTAATACAAATCGTGCAGCAGGAAATTCTGTCGGGGCTTCTGTTGTAGAAAATGAATTAACACCTTTTTCACCAATCAGAATCGAGAATTCAACAGCACTGTGGTATATTACAGATATATCACAGTTCATCAGTGTCATACAGGTCACATGACATGGACAGGATTTTTAGGAGGCACACTGTCAACAAATTCTCTGAATTTAAAGCCCTTGACACAAAACGTTACATATACATATACACTGCATACATTATGGAGCAAACTTAATACGTTTCCTCCTCAAGTATTTGATTTGCTCCATAATGTATGCACTTCAAAAATTCGCTCAAGTCTCTTTAATTATTATGTATATGCAACGTTTTGTGTCAAGGGCTTTAAATTCAGAGAATTTGTTGACAGTGTGCCTCCTAAAAATCCTGTCCATGTCATGTGACCTATATGACGCTGATGAACTGTTATATATCTGCAATATACCACAGTGCTGCTGGTAGCTCAGTGGTTAAGATGTCAGACTTCTGATTGGAAGGTTGAGAGTTCAAATCCCAGCACTGCCAAGCTGCCACTGCTGCGCCCTTGAGCAAGGCCCTTAACCTCCAACTGCTTGGTTGTATAAATGAGATAATTGTAAGTCGCTCGGGATTAGGGCATCTGTCTTTATCTAGAGTGTGCTGTAAATGTAAATATTGAAAATAAAAGGCATAGAGCACCATTTCTCAACTCCAGCATCAAGGTTTCTTCTCTGCCAACACACCTGAGCCCGCACATCACATAATTATTAAACTCTGGGTCAGGTCAGTATGATAAGGAGGATCAAAATATAATGACATATCATCACTGATGTCGAGATGTTACTGCATCCTCTGGCCTAAATCCCGGAAATGCTTACAGAACGAAAGACATATAAAGACAAAGAAATGTGTCTTTGAGCTGCTTCCATTCGACTTGGTATGAAGCTTCCAGAACACACATACCAATAAAATGGCAAGACATATAATAATAAAATGTACAAATAATAATAAGAAGAAGTTGGGTTTGGGTTTGTGTTGGCACTTTTGGTCTGACTGCTTGCCCAGGTGCAGCCTTGCGATGGCCTCTTGATCCAGCTGTGAGAGTGATTTTGATATAGTTTGAGTTATTGAATTGCTGGATTATATACTGGATTATTGAAGACTTTTTGCTGGGGAGTTTTGGCTTTCCCTATGTACAGACATTTTTGGGATACTCTGTATTTTATACAGAGATTTCAACACTACTATTATTATTATTATTATTATTATTATTACTATTATTATGTGGAACATGATCTCAAAGATACTTTTAGAGAAAAGTACTTTGTATGATGTGTAAATTTGTGTACATTTCGTGTGAATGTGTATATGTACACTGTATACTTTGTGTTTTGAATGGTTCAGATATGTGTATCTCTATATTGCAAATGTGTGCGATTGCTCAGAATCAGAAAGAGCTTTTATTGTCAAGTGTGCTCTCTCTCTCTCACACACACACACATTAAGAAAAGTAAAATAATTACATAATTAAATAATACAAATAATAATTACAAATATTATAAATAATAATAAATGTGTGTGTATGTGTATATATATATATAATTATAAAATTTGTGTCATTTATATATATATATATATATAAATACATACACACACACACACACACACACACTGTACAGTAGACACAATAGGCTTAAATAGAATAGATATATGTACAGATATGATATGATGTGATATAATGTTCATAATGAGTGTTAAAATTATTCAGTAGAGTTTGATTTAAAAAGTAAGAAAAGCTTAAGCCCTGCAGAGCCCTGAGGTTCTTTAGGACTGGAGCTGAGAACCCCCGGCTCCTTTTCCTCACTTTTCTGTGATCTCACCCACCTTGAAGGAGACTGGTCCGAAAAGGATGTCTCTGTCGAAGAAGCTCACTCGCTCTCTCACCCAGCTCCTCTTTATTCAAATCCCTTTGGTTGAGAAGATCCTCAACTTCTCCTGCACCCTTAGCTCCTACCCCATGAAGGGTGCTTATCCCAAACACCTGAGGTCTTGATCTGACCACTGCAGACCACCACTGCTCTAACATGTTCCTCTTCAGATCCACTCCTAAGGGTCCATATGCACAGGTTTTGCCTTTGAGTAAAGACACAGCATGATGGTGATCTGGAGGGATGAAGAACCGCCGCTGTAACACCTGCAACATGCCACTGGCTGGATCAGAACCTCCATCACTGCTCTTCCCGTACTGTTTACAGAACTGCAGCAGCTCATGGAGAGGAGAAATGTTACAATTCACACGGCTGAAAACACTAAGCTGCCTTCTGATACAGTAAGTAAGCATCCTAGAGTCTGTGTTAACTTAATTTAACTCCAGCTGGCCTTATTCACCATCTCATGTCTTATCTATTATAATACAGTGAAAAGCTTTTCACGTGTCGCCCTCAAATACGCGTCACAAAGCGAGCGCACAGAACCGAACTTTTTAACCTGACACTGTTTTCATAACATTACACGTGGACGCAGCGACCCGGAAGTACTACATGACTTCCGGATAAGCGACTTTTATTATTTATACGTGTTAGGTTTTTTTTTTTGCGACTGTCTTCATCGTACTTTTATTATACGTTCACATTGTCATTTGTGTAAACCTTCTAACTGAAATTATACCTTTTATGCTTAGTCATAATTGTGGCAGGTGGGAAATTATATATTTGCAGTAATTAATTAGAACAACTGCTTTGAATTGTTTAAAACAATAAAGTAACATATTGAAAAAAAAAAACTAATGTTAATGCTGGGGAAAAAATAGTTAGCTAAATTGATAATAAGCTCTCTAAGCGTTCTCATCTGTCATGTTTAGAGAGCCAAATAACAAAATGCTACTGTAATATTTCTTATCTATTTATCTATAAACAAGTTCAAGAACTGTCATTTTGTGGATGTGACTTGCCCCTGCCAGTGAATGAATATCGCCATCTACCGGAGACTCTTTGCCACTGCACGAGACACTGCACCACAGACACTCAGGGGGACACGCCCCCCATCACCCCCCATTAATCACACATGGCCAAACTGCCCCCCGCCCCAATAAATACATATGGCCAAATTGACCCCCCCCACCCCCACCCCCCCCCATAATCACATATGGCCAAATTGCCCCCCACCCCCATAATCACATATGGCCAAATTGCTCCCCGCTCAGTAATCACATATGGCCAAAATGCTGCTTGCATAAGTATTGACTCCCTTCAGAACAGTACTTGGTAAAACCACTTTTTGCTGCAATAACAGCTTTAAGTCTTTGCACATTGTTTGGGAGTGATTTTTCCCCCATTCTTCCTGGCCAGTTTGCTCCATGTTCTTCTGGTTGGTTGGATGTTGAGTGCAGTTTTCAAACAGTGCCACAGATTCTCAGTGGGATTCAGACCACCCCTGCAATGCTTTGGACCATTGTCCTCCCAAAAGTTCAGGTTTCTCCCAAGCTGAAGCAAGTTCTCTTGTAATATCCCCGTATTTTGCTCCATCCGTTCTCCCTTCAGTTTTGACAAGAAGCCCAGGTTCTGAGGATGAACAGTATCCCCAGATCGTGATGCTGCCACCACCATACTTCACTGTAGGGATGGTGTTAATTGAGGTATGGGCTGCGTTATGTCTGCACCACATACAGCAATTAGAAATTTTCCCAAATACAGTATCTTCAACTTGGTTTCATCACACCAAAAACCACATGTTCAGTGGGTCAGCATTGTGCTTTCACATGGCTCTTCTTGAGCAATAGTTTCTTTCTAGCTATCCTCCCATACAGTCCTCAACTATGTAGAGCTCTTAAATGGTTGTCTGGTGCACCTTCACTCCACTCTCAGCCCCTGTACTCTGTAACTCCTTCAGAGTGACTGTTGGCCTCAGTGTGGCTTCCCTCTCCAGTCTCTGTCTTATTTTTGCACTGAGTTTGGAGGGGCTGCATTGTCTAGGTAGTGTGTGGATAGTGTGATGCAGCTTCCACTTCCTCACCAACTGAACAGTGCTTATGGGGACGTTCAACCTCTTAGATATAATTTACTCCCCACTGCTAAGTTATGAAATTCTATTACTTTATCTTTAACTTCCATAGAATGCTACTTAGCATTCACTCCTTTCTTTCAGACTGACAGTCTCTTGTAAATAAACAGGAATCTGCAGCTACATACTGTATGTCAACTGCAGTCTCAGAGTCCAGTTCTTGGATGTCAGGATTAGAACCTGACGTGATCCGCTGTTGTAGCTGATCTACCTCAAGGCTCAACATGTGTGTTCTGAAATGCTTTTCTTCTCACTACGGTTGTAAATAGTGGTTGAGTTACTGTAGTCTGCCTGTCACCTCGAACCAGTCTGGCCGTTCTCCTGTGGCCTCTCATTAACAAGGCATTTCCACACACAGAACTGCTGCTCACTAGATGTTTGCTTTTCGCATCATCCCGTGTAAACTCGAGAGACCTTTGTGTGTGAAAGTCCCAGATGATCAGCAGTTTCTGAAATACTCAAACACTGTGTATTCTTAAATTCATCTATTCCATGGTGTATTACTTATCCTGTGCATGTGATGATTTAAATTTACTTTTGGTTTTTATTTACTTTTTATACATCAGATTTCCAGTACAACTCCAAAAACTGTCATCTCCAGAAATTTTCTGATGATTCTGCAGTTGTTGGCTGTATAAAGGATCATGATGAGAGTGAATATAGGGAGCGTTTAGAGTTTTGTGGACTGGTGTGAAACAAACTGTCTTAGGCTTAATGCTAGTAAGGCTAAGGAAATTGTGGTTGATTTTAGTAGATATCCTCATCAAGTGGTGCCAGTGAATATACAAGAGTCAGAAATTGAGATTGTCACGTCATATGTGTGTACCTGGGTGTATATTTAGATTGCCTGATAATACGATAATACGGGTTTATAAGAAGGGTCAGAGTCGCATTCATTTATTAAGGCGACTGAGATCCTTTGGTGTAGGTCAGGTACTGTTGAAGACCTTTTATGATTCTGTGGTATCATCTGTGATCTTGTATGCTGTTACCTGCTGGGGAGGGGGATTGTTGGAGAAGGAGAACAACAAATTCAATAAGCTGATTAAAAAAGGCAGGTTCTGTGGTGGGTTGTGTGTTACCCACTATTGATGTGATGGCACAGGATAGAATGACCGATAAACTGGTCAGTATAATGAATCAAGATTGTCATCCTCTTCATGAAACAGTTCAAGCCTGTGCGGGTTCTTTTAGCTCAAGATTAATTCAGCCCCGATGTTATAAGGAACGATATAAAAAGTCATTTTTACCGACAGCCATTAGATTATTTAATCAATGTCATATTAGATGACTGATGTAGAATTTTAAATTGTATTTTGTGTAACATGGTGTAGTGCGTACTCTGATGCTTGAAACAAGGGGGGCTGTATGAAACACAGTATTGTGCAGTATTTTTATTTTTTTTTTTTTAACTTGTTTTATTTTATCTATTTATTGTGTGGTGAGCTTTGCTGTGACATGTGAATTTCCCTTTGGGATTAAT